GGGCCAAAATGTTTTTCGCCCATGGGCGAGATTTTTTAATATCGCTCTAAATTAGTCGAATTAAGTCAATGTGAGTTGAATTTTGTTTCATGATACTTATAAACATACACTCATTCATTTACAACCTCCAAAACATGGAAAATCATGTATTTTGAGTAAAAGTAAATATTCTCGCCCATGGGCCAACCTATCTTTCGCCCATGGGCGAGATTTTTTAATATCGCTCTAAGTTAGTCGAATTAAGTCAATGTGAGTTGAATTTTGTTTCATGATACTTATAAACATACACTCATTCATTTACAACCTCCAAAACATGGAAAAACATATATTTTGAGTAAAAGTAAATATTCTCGCCCATGGGCCAAAATATTTTTCGCCCATGGGCGAGATTTTTTAATATCGCTCTAAATTAGTCGAATTAAGTCAAAATGAGTTGAAATTTGTGTCATGATGCTTACAAACATACACTCATTCATTTACAACCTCCAAAACATGAATTCTGGTCGAAATTAAACATTCTCGCCCATGGGCCGGCCCATGGGCCACTGTTCGCCCATGGGCCTGCCCATGGGCGAGCGAGTTTAAATTTAAAGTTTTCGAAAAAAATCTTTTTCATTTTTTCATCCTTGGCATATATTCATAACAACTGCATGTTTAATTTGGTCAAATCCCTTGTCAGAAAGTGCCCACAGTGCGGAGAGTTTCTGGACTTTTGTGAGTCCAGAATTAAATTGTGACGTGTTTTATTATTATTATGATGTTTACAGATTTAAAGATAGTATGCAGCAGAGGGTTCGGGTGATCCTGGCACAGTCAGGCTGGTAAAGGCTCATCATCAGCTCAGGGCCCTTGCCCCTCTACACGCAGCCCAGACAGCGAATGGGACTCATCCCAGGAAACACTGCCTCCTCAGACCCACCAAGAACTTTATGAAGAAGAATATGAAGGCTCCCCAACACTGCAGCCTTCTGCATTACCCAGAGTGTCAGAAGGGCTGTACACCCGGTGGAAAACCCGGGCACTCTCTGATCTGCGCCAAGAGATCAGGAGGTACCAAACTCAAGGGCGCCGAGAACAATGGGGAGCCTGGGGACAGTGTACTTGGGATGCAAGCGAGACATTTCAAAGGCGAGGTCCGCATATTTATCATGCTTTTCCTGAATCTAGGCAATCACATTGGTGTCAAAAGGGACAAAAAATTCAATGAAATAAATAAATTCATTGGCTTTATCCAAAAGGACAAGATCAGGTTTGTTGGCTGGAATTCTTCTGAGGCTGTATATGGGCCTATTCCACAAAAGTTTGAAAGCATCATTTTCATGACGCCCTGAACATGTTCAGGGTCGTACCATGGATGGACCTGGGAGTCAAAGCCACAAGCATGGCGGAGACGGTAGTAAAAGCAGCGAGCCATGCCATAGTGTTGTTTAAGATATACTGTATGTGCCAAGGAAGGGCATCCACTGACAAGGTGTTGGACAGTCTCTGTAATTTCATTACATAGTCGACATTTCATATTGATGTTTTCTTTAAGAATCATATTTTGGCGATTGCGAGTTATTATTATAATTATTATTATTATTTTATTTTTCCCTTTCTTCCATGGGAAGCAGTCACTTTCTGAATAACCACAATTACTATTTGATTTTTTAGTCTTCGCATATTGTTATATGATAATGTAATACATGATACGAACAATGTTGTAATTGTATTTCACAGTTTGCATTCACTTCCAGTCCCATTGCTGACAACTGTGTGCCAGCTGCTAGATCTTGACTTGGGGTCAAGAATAATGTTGAAGCTTCTAGAGCAGCCGGAATAACCAACCCGATCTCACATTACATCACAACCATCTGTCCGTGAAGAGTGTTACTTTCACTCTGTGACCCTTGTAGATCCGTGTTAGAATTGATCTTCAGTAACCCCTGCTTACGGGAAAGGAGGCGACTAACGGGAACGGGTGATCAGGCTCGCTGACTTGGTTGACACATGTCATCGTATCCCAATTGCGTAGAACGATGCTCCTTCTATTGATCACTGGATTGTCTGGTCCACAGTCAATTATTTACAGATCGCCGCCATATAGCTGGAATATTGCTGAGAGCGAAGAATGTTATCTTCATTCTGTATATCCAGCCTTGGCCTGCATCGTAAGCTGGACCATCTGTCCGTGAAGAGTGTTATCTTCACTCTGTATATCCAGCCTTGGCCTGTATCGTAAGCGGGACCATCTGTCCGCGAAGAGTGTTATCTTCATTCGGTATATCCAGCCTTGGCCTGTATCGTAAGCTGGACCATCTGTCCGTGAAGAGTGTTATCTTCATTCTGTATATCCAGCCTTGGTCTGTATCGTAAGCTGGACCATCTGTCCGTGAAGAGTGTTATCTTCACTCTGTATATCCAGCCTTGGCCTGTATCGTAAGCGGGACCATCTGTCCGCGAAGAGTGTTATCTTCATTCTGTATATCCAGCCTTTGTCCTGTATCGTAAGCGGGACCATCTGTCCGCGAAGAGTGTTATCTTCATTCTGTATATCCAGCCTTGGCCTGTATCGCAAGTGGGACCATCTGTCCGTGAAGAGTGTTATCTTCACTCTGTATATCCAGCCTTGGCCTGTATCGTAAGCTGGACCATCTGTCCGTGAAGAGTGTTATCTTCATTCTGTATATCCAGCCTTGGCCTGTATCGTAAGCTGGACCATCTGTCCGCGAAGAGTGTTATCTGCACTCTGTATATCCAGCCTTGGTCTGTATCGTAAGCGGGACCATCTGTCCGCGAAGAGTGTTATCTTCATTCTGTATACCCAGCCTTGGCCTGTATCGTATGCTGGACCATCTGGTCCGTGAAGAGTGTTATCTTCATTCTGTATACCCAGCCCTGGCCTGTATCGTAAGCTGGACCATCTGTGCGTGAAGAGTGTTATCTTTATTCGGTATATCCAGCCTTGGCCTGTATCGTATGCGTGGACCATCTGTCCGTGAAGAGTGTTATCTTCACTCTGTGTATCCAGCCTTGGCCTGTATCGTAAGCGGGACCATCTGTCCGCGAAGAGTGTTATCTTCATTCTGTATATCCAGCCTTGGCCTGTATCGTAAGCTGGACCATCTGTCCGCGAAGAGTGTTATCCTCATTCTGTATATCCAGCCTTAACCTGTATCGTATGCTGGACCATCTGTCCGCGAAGAGTGTTATCTTCATTCGGTATATCCAGCCTTGGTCTGTATCGTAAGCTGGACCATCTGTCCGTGAAGAGTGTTATCTTCACTCTGTATATCCAGCCTTGGCCTGTATCGTAAGCGGGACCATCTGTCCGCGAAGAGTGTTATCTTCATTCGGTATATCCAGCCTTGGTCTGTATCGTAAGCTGGACCATCTGTCCGTGAAGAGTGTTATCTTCATTCTGTATATCCAGCCTTGGTCTGTATCGTAAGCTGGACCATCTGTCCGTGAAGAGTGTTATCTTCACTCTGTATATCCAGCCTTGGCCTGTATCGTAAGCGGGACCATCTGTCCGCGAAGAGTGTTATCTTCATTCTGTATATCCAGCCTTGTCCTGTATCGTAAGCGGGACCATCTGTCCGCGAAGAGTGTTATCTTCATTCTGTATATCCAGCCTTGGCCTGTATCGCAAGCGGGACCATCTGTCCGTGAAGAGTGTTATCTTCACTCTGTATATCCAGCCTTGGCCTGTATCGTAAGCTGGACCATCTGTCCGTGAAGAGTGTTATCTTCACTCTGTATATCCAGCCTTGGCAGCCTGTATCGTAAGCTGGACCATCTGTCCGCGAAGAGTGTTATCTGCACTCTGTATATCCAGCCTTGGTCTGTATCGTAAGCGGGACCATCTGTCCGCGAAGAGTGTTATCTTCATTCTGGTCCTTCTGGAATACCCAGCCTTGGCCTGTATCGTATGCTGGACCATCTGTCCGTGAAGAGTGTTATCTTCATTCCGCATACCCAGCCCTGGCCTGTATCGTAAGCTGGACCATCTGTGCGTGAAGAGTGTTATCTTTATTCGGTATATCCAGCCTTGGCCTGTATCGTATGCGGGACCATCTGTCCGTGAAGAGTGTTATCTTCACTCTGTGTATCCAGCCTTGGCCTGTATCGTAAGCGGGACCATCTGTCCGCGAAGAGTGTTATCTTCATTCTGTATATCCAGCCTTGGCCTGTATCGTAAGCTGGACCATCTGTCCGCGAAGAGTGTTATCCTCATTCTGTATATCCAGCCTTAACCTGTATCGTATGCTGGACCATCTGTCCGCGAAGAGTGTTATCTTCATTCGGTATATCCAGCCCTGGCCTGTATCGTAAGCTTGACCATCTGTCCGTGAAGAGTGTTATCTTCATTCTGTATACCGAGCCCTGGCCTGTATCGTAAGCGGGACCGTCTGTCCGCGAAGAGTGTTATCTTCATTCTGTATATCCAGCCTTGGCCTTTATCGTACCCTTGATTATTGTTGCTACTTATGAATATTATTATTGTTAGCTTGCCTGCCATGACCACCGGCATTGCAATTGCACTGCCATTGATTTTGTTCCACCGTTTTCCAGTAATATGTATTTAGTTTTAAACGCTGACTTGGTTGGCATCGTTTTGAGGGGCGGTGGGGTAGGCTAGTGGTTAAAAGTGGACGTTCGCTCGTCACGCCGAAGCCCCGGGTTCGATTTCTCGCATGCGTACGATGTGTGAAGCCCGTTTCTCATGTCCCCCGCCGTGATATTGCTGGAATATTGCTAAAAGTGGCGTAAAACCATACTCGCCCCCAACTGCGCAGATCCATACTCAAGATGTTGATAACTGGATTGTCTGGTCCAGACCCGATTATGTACAGAAATTCGCCTATTCCATTCCATATCCAGACTATTCGACTTTAAACAACAATAAATGAATCAATTATTTGTAAAAATAGTAGGCTGCACATCACAACTAATTTAGGTACTATTACAATTGTTTTAGGTTGAGATTTCTTGTTTATTTTCAAAATGTAGTGACTTACCTTTGGAACAAACAGTAATATGATGTTCATCGTTGTACCAAACAGTACAAAACCAGAGTGCAGGGCATAGAGAACTTGTACCTGGTTTTCAAGCACAAATGAGAAAACCAGTGATATGATGCTGAAGACGAATGTGTTGTAGATGCACTGGCCGATGGAACGGGAGTCATTTAGGTCTTCAATCTGTACCTGAAATGATAAAACGGATACACCACGTATCACATCCATATATAATTGTTATCCAAATAAACCGCGAGGGTTGGGGTGGGGTGCTGTACATGCGAAAATAGAGGGATCGCCAAAGTGGTTGAAGCGTTGGCTCGTCACGACGAATACCCGGGTTTCTATTTCCCACATGGGTACAATGTGTGAAGCCCATTTCTGGTGTGGCCCCGCCGTGTGTTGCTGGAATATTGCTAAAAGCGGCGTAAAACCATATTTACTCATTCTCTTTAGCAACCCATTTTATTGAGGATTGGAGTGTGGAGGTACATCCGTAATAGAATTGGTCTTTAGCAATTTTTGCTATTTGACCCGCTGACTTAATTGATGCATGCCATCGTATCCAAACTGCGCAGGCTGAGGATCATGTTGTCACTAGGTTGTCTGGTCCGCACTGAGTCTTTTACAGGCCACCGCATGCAGCTAGGCTTTTCAAAGTACGGTGTTAAACCACAAGCAATCAAATTCACACGAGGTCGTTTATCCACGATGCGCATGTTCGTGTTTGCTTAACGCGGCATTCGGTAACATTCCATTAATATTGCGGAAAATAATTGATTCCCCGTCAGACATTCCAGTGAATGGTATTACGCGCAACGATTCATGATGTCAAGATCTAATGTGAAGCAATTGACCAAGTCACAGAGTTTATATAAGAATTGGTTGCTGGGGTCCCCGGGAATATACGTTATTGCATGGCATCTATACATCTGGAATAAGGTTACCCGGGTAAGAATTGGTCCCTAGCTTTTGGGTTGGTTGGCTTGTTGTTTAACGCCGCATCCAGCAATATTCCAGCTGTATGGCGGCGGTCTGTAAATAATCGAGTCAGGATCAGACAATCCAGTGATCAACAGCATGAGCATCAATGTACGCAATTGGGATATGACGACATGTGTCAACCAAGTCGAGGGCGGTGGAGTAGCCCTAATGGTTTAAAGCGTTGGCTCGTCACTCCAAAGACCCGGGTTCGAATCCCCACATTTGTATAATGTGTGAAGCCCAATGCTGGTGTCCCCCGCCGTGATGTTGCTGGAATATTGCTAAAAGCGGCGTAAAAAAACAACCAAACTCAACCAAGTCAGCGTGCCTCACCACGTGATCCCGTTAGTCGCCTCTTACAACATCCCAGTGTCACATCTATGTGTCGCAACCCGCCTCGAGTTAACCTACGTTCCGACGATTGTCATTATCAAAAACCCCCATTTAATTATAACTAGCAATACCTCTGTTCACTGTGCGCTACAATATCATAACCTAGGGAATCGTCCTTTCTACAAAACAGCCTTTCGAAACCTGGATTTAGTCTCTCTCACAGTCCCTGAACCGCATTATATCCCTTCTGTCTAGCGCTTTCTGCAATGATAAGTGAAACAAGTCTTGATTTCCTCAGGTTCTATCTCCCATCTCACGGGGCCTCCTTTTCAATTAAAAGGATTTTTTTCTATCAAAATTATATTTATTCAGAGAATAACCGTTCGTCTAACCTTAACCTAAAAGACAAAAGTTAATTAATTAAGTTTCCCTCAGCCTGAAGTTACGCCCGTTTCACAAAGCATCTTTTACTCGATTTAGCTCGTGTCAAACTCTGCTTAAAGGTTATTCTGTGAACCTTTTTCTTGATCTTGTGCACATAAATTGTATTCGGCTCCCGGTGAAGTGTTCAACTTCCAGCTGGAAGGTTTATGATAACAATGGTTTTACCAAAAGGAGACAGGTATTTTAGAGTGGACTGGACCCAAAAAGAAACTCCGAGGGCCCCAGCTGCCAACAGGTCACCCATGTTCGCGGGGCTGTAGGGTAGACTCAAGTGGTTAAAGCGTTCGCTCGTCACACCGAATTATTACTTATTGTAGTTATTATGCTTCGACGACAGAGTTGTATACTGTTGATATATATTTGTCATTGATGTATGGCTTCCTCTCATCACGATATGGCAGAAATACTGCCGATGTGACGATACATCTAAACTCACTCACTCACTCACTGACGCCGAAGACTCGGGTTCGATTCACCTCATGGGTGCAATGTGTGAACCCCATTTCTGCTATCCCCCGTTGTGATATTGCTGGAATATTGCTAAAAGCGGCATACAACCAGACTCACTCACTCTAACCAGATGGATTGATTTAATTCTGATTCCAGTTGACTCCAAAAGCGTTACATTATATAGTAATTTCTACACTCCTAAAATCGGCGTTAAACTGAACTCACTCACTCATTTACCCAGCTTCACGATCAAAGCTTCTCGACATTTTATTTACTTGACGTGTTTGGTGACTTGTATGCAGTTCCCAGGATCACGCAGCACCGGGAAATAAAGTGATATTTTCCAGAAGCCCGACATGAAACCAGCAGTTGCTGGGATCTGATTGATGGTGTAGTTTTGGAAGAGAGACACTGTGATTAAAGACGTAACATGTTTGTGTGTATGCATGTTATTAAAATCCTCAAGGGGAAAGTATCTACCACAAGAACACACTTGCAAGGGTGAAAACGTTCACTGTTCCATGATCACGTGTTTCAAACATATCAGTTTTCAGAAAACCTATTAGCAAGCAAGGAATCAATAATTTTCAGTGTGTGAAGAACGGGTTATCTGTTCATCGCGCTAAACCCATAATAATACTGTTGGGGAACTGAGCGTGTTATCTAAATGAGTTGATGAAATGCTTTGCGACGCCCTCGCAAATCCGACAGGTCATGATCAGAATAAGGCGTTTCTTCAGTGTTAAATAATAAAAATGTTTCTGCATAAAATAGCTGCGAGGTTTCTCCAAACGACGACGTTGAGTTGAATCCGTGGCATCTGTTATATATCAGCGATTACATTAACTTGGCTGAGAGTTGGAAGTGGTTACATGGGTTTAGTCTCATGCCACTGAAATAACGAATTGCGCGTGAGTGTGCGTGTACGTGCGCGTAGGTGCCAGTCCGAGCGCATTATTGTGCTTGTCGTCCTGACGTACCACATGCTTGTTTTACCCTCTAATTGTAATCACCAGGGAAGTTCAACTATTTAACGTCTTTTGGTATGACGCCGACCTTCTATTCTTCGTACAGCCACTCTGTCCTCTTGCCCAATGCCTACTTCAGATTCTTCCACAACCAACATCTACTTGTCCTTAGTGTGAGCAATAACTTATACGCTCACTATTAAGCCTTCCTAGACATGTCTCAGTCACTTAGTGTTACGCCGCTTTCAGTTCATTTCGAGCACTGACCCGGCTGCAAATACGACACCAGACGTTTGCTTCATTGTACTCATGTGAAAAATCTAACCAAGCGTAATGAGGGAACGGTTTAAGAAACCCCAACAGCATGAGCACGGGATGGCCTTGCATTGTCCTCCATGAAGACTGACCTTGTGTTCAAAGGATGGTCATCGAATTGTGGTACAACAACCATGTCTAGGATGCCAGTGATGTGTCGCTGTGCATCAGTTCAGATTTCAATGATGACAGGGCCAAGTTTACAGTCATGTGAGAGGCACCCAACACGAACTCGACCATCAGCCATGAACAAAAAGAAATCGACTTTTGGCCAAATAGTTTGCCCTTCCTCATGATTCCAGTGACGTCAAGCTTGACACCAAGCTGCTTGTTTGTGTTCTGGGGAAAGCTATGGACGTCTGAAGGTTCCTCTGGCTCTATACCCGGCAGACTTGGGGCGATTTCGGACCGACCTGTTGCACAAACGACGATGTGGAAGCCACTCTATGTTAGCCAGGCCTCCTGACATGAACAGATGAAGTCATGTGATTTTAAGGAGGATTGTCACTCGTGGTCGAACTCAACGCCGAGTGTATAGGGCCTGTAAGCCACGTCCTGTACTAAGGTGGTTCCCGGCTCCCTTTGCGCGCACCAAATTGTGATATGCGAGACGGGACACAGCTTACTTACGGTACCTGATTTCCGGTGACAGGCGTATATTCAAGAATAAGTTCTGGTTCCAAATTGCGCGACCGCCACATATGACTTCACTAGACCGGACCAAGTGTACAACCATGCTTGGCTGTCACATTTGTTGACAGTCGTAATAGTTGGCTAATTCGAGGATGATTGACTCGGAAATTTGTTATTCCTGCAAGGATTATCGGTTCCTTCCTGTCAACCATGAGACCATTCGAAAACGTTAGTTTGTCACTGGAAGTACTAAGGTTTCGTGAAGTACGTGACCTACGTACGGGCCCCTTTTAATCATTACTTTGCTCGTGTGTTCTGGTCAATCGCCTGAAAGCCGTTATCCCTTGCCGTATGACTCAATGATATTACAGCATTCCGCATGGCAACAACTCGTCATCTTTGAGCAATGGTTAGTTGAGAAGGCCCATATTTACTTATCAAGAACGAAATCAACCGATCTTCAAGTTACCGAGTGAGCAGTATGGTTTGACACCACTTTTAGCAAGATTCCAGCACTATCAAGGCGGGGGACACCAAAAAATGGGCTTCACACATTGTACTCATGTGATGAATCGAACCCGGGTCTTCGGCGTAACAAGCCAACACCTAAACTACTAGGCTACCCCAACGCCCCTCGATCCGTAAGACCACTTAATTAAAAATGATGTTAGTCGACGGGTACACGTATTGCACGCCTTTGATCAAACTTAATGTGTTGTCCCCACGAAATGTAAAAATCACCAAACAAACAAACGTATTTATGATATGAATATAAATGGCTAATTGCGGGTAAAATTCATAGGTTTTGCTATAGTATTTTCCATTTGTATGTTTAGATACGCTATTGTTTAGATTTTTATCCGAATGTTTCAATATTTTGAGGCTCAATGCATATTACATCATTTAACATTCTTTCAAGTGTGGGTAAGTAAGCTAGAAAAGTAGTGAAAAAAATCTGCTTAATGATGAAGTCTCCATCTCACTTTTTAGCTAACAAAATAATGACCATCTAGATTTTTTTAACCTTTCTGTGATGTCTATTTAAAACACACCTGATCAAGCATATAAACAAAGCCATTTTGCATGACGTTAATCAGATTTTCAAGAAGTACTATTTTGGGAGACCAAGCTCTTCTTATTTTAGAAAAAACATTTAAAAAGTTTTCTTTTTGAACGCTGCATTAACGAATAAGGACAAAAATGGATCTTTGAGGATGTTGTTGCTTTTTTGAAAGAGAGAGGATATATAAGGTGGAATTAGCGCAGCTTGGAAGTAAGTCAGAACGTGTCAGTTGAATGCTCCCGAAGTCTCAGTTTGACCCTTCTGCTGGAAGCTGACAAAACTCCCCACCATAAAACAAAGCGTTTGAGCGTCACCGTGACGTTGATCAGTTTAGGCGAACCTGTTTTCTTAGATGTATAAACGAAAAACGGTCGCTTATTTGAGATTTTGAACAATTCAAACTTACTCGTTGAGACTATCCCTTGTAATAATATCTCTAAAGATCAACGTTTATGTACACTTTGTAATTATCCAACAGTTGCCATTATGGAACTTTTGTTAATAAAATATTGTCACTTGTAGCTGGAAAATACAGTGTTTGGCCTAATGTACATTCATTTAAATGCCTGATAAGAAATTGAGAGCGCTTTTAGCAATATTCCTGCAATATCACGGCGGGAAACACCAGAAATGGCCTTCACACATTGTGCCCATTTGGGGAATCGAACCCGGGTCTTCGGCGTGACGAGCGAAAGTACCTAGACTATTTAATGCCAACGAAACACAAATCTACACAGCCATACTGACGCACATATATTATTTATTTCCACTTTGACTTGCTCTTTTTTCATCTTCCATGGTTTTTCATTGAGTACTAGGGCGGTGAGTTAGCCTTCTGGTATAAGCGTTCGCTCGTCACGCCGAAAACCCGGGTTCGATTCCTCAAATGGGTACACTGTGTGAAGTCTATGTCTGGTGTCCTCCGTCGTGATATTGCTCGAATATTGCTAAACGCGGCGTAAACTAAACTCACTTATTCATTCATGGAGTACTAAAATAGATCTGAATCTGAGAGTTGACTTACTTTCCTAGTTTCCCAAGCCAGGAATGTACCGATGAGGAGCATGACGCCGTGGATGATGTACAGCGCTGCACTGAAGTACTGGTGGTAGTCGGACACGCACACGTCCACCTGGTACTGCAGCAGTATGTCCTCCGCCTCGTTCAACTGGTGGATAGACAGATTCGTTAGTCTCACGTTGAGTGAGTGAGTGAGTCAATGTTCTGTTTTGTTCTTTATATAAGGGGATGCCCCAGCTCTATAACGTCAGTCTGTACATAATGGAGTCTGGACCAGAATATCATGTGACTGACATCATGAGAACTAATGTACTGGCATGCTTTTTGTTTGTTGTCAAACACCGCACTAAGCAATATTCCAGCTCTATAACGGCGGTCTGTAAATAATCGAGTGAGTGAAAATTTCACCGGCGTTATGGCAGCCATATAAACATGAGAAGTAAGTATATCCAGAATAGAGTCATCAATATCCCCCGTAATTGTAAAATACTCTTCATGAATATGTCAACTAGTTATGACTATGTCAAATGTTACATTGTTCTTCACATCGATGTAACGAAAACGTATATATGTAAACTATTCATATACGAGCATGCTTGTATTAACAACAGACTGCCCGAGTGCGCCTACCGTTTGATGTCCCTCTGTAGTATTGATACTGGAAATAGAGTGGTACTGTTGACTTATTTCACTAGGTTCTGGAAGGGGAAGGGGAGTATTGAAGTTTTACAGTACGGCTCCAAAAAAAGAACACTACCACCAATTTCAGTCGAAGTCAAACATGTTGCCATGGAAACGCAAAAATAAATTGGTCAGAAATGTAAAACCACCTAAAGGCACCAGTTCACCACCAGACCTATCTATATGCCAAGTTTGATGAAGAACCGTCAGGAACCGATTCCTCAAATGTAGAATTCGTAGATATCGATCTTCCTGGGGGGTAGTGACCTTTGGTCTACCTGACCTTGGTCGGTCAACAGTCCTGCCAGTCTCATTGAAAAGTTTAATAAGTCTATTGATAGTATGTCTGTGACAACCAAACGTTCTTCCGACATGGGCATGAGAAGCTCCCATGTTTAACATTCCTATGACTCTTTCACGCTGTTCTGAAGTAAGTCAAGGCATATCTAAAGTGTTTTCCTGTTTTCCTAACAACGTCTGTGTTATACCAACGGTCGTTAAATGCCCCTTTTCTTCTTATGTAGTGTCGCTTTTTATCCTTAAAAACCCGTATTTCACCATTTGAACAAATTTCACGATTTTTATTTCGAAGTCAATTTTCCAAATGGCAAGATTATTGGTGTGTTTTGGCGAATGTTAAACATTAGAAAATATATTTCAACAATTTTTGAATCAATTTCATACATCAAAATAAATAAACTTTCTAAATGGCATTGTGTAATCATGTAATCATTTATTGAATTATTTAAATACTCACTCAATCTACACCAAGAAACGTCCTATGTATTGCACTAAATAAGTTGTCTATTCTTAAACAGTGTGACTCTTTATAAACCACGATAAACCAAAGCTGGGCCATCTCGCTGGGGATCATTCAGACTTACAGTGCTTCCATCTTTCAGGGTGTCGTTGTTCAAAGCGATCTTAGAGCTAAGGTGATCGCAATTCCCATATCTTAACATAGGCTTACGGCTGTCGTAGCACTAAGGCTGTTTTGTACAACGGCACCTGTGGGATAAATCAGCATGCTTGACGTCATCACTTAATGTTCTGTTGGTTTGGCTCAATACTATCCGATTTAAAATCTATATTCAGCCACGAGTTGGATTAAAACAGTGGGAGATGATAGCTGCATCAATTATGATTAAGAAACACTTGTCACATATGACGATAACAATTTGATGTCCTGGGCAGGTCTACCCTTTCAGTAATCTCCATATCAAACTGACAAACAAACAGTTTGACATTCCTATGTTAAATACATTTAAAGTGATATGAACATAAAATGTGTGTCAGTCCGAATTATGACTGTTTGGGAATCAGATTTAAACACGTGATTTTAAGTTAAAAAGATGAAGTTGATACGCTGAGATTAACTTTTTGCATGATCTTCAGTAACCCATGTTTGTCGTAAAGGCGACTTGTGGGATCGGATGGTCAGGCTCTCTGACTTGGGTAACACATGTCATCAATCCCAATTGCGTATATCGATGCTCATACTGTTGATCACTGGATTGTCTGGTCCAGACTCAATTATTGCAGACCGCCGCCATATAGCTGGCATATTCGTGAGTGCGGGGTTAAACAACAAACCAACCGATCAATCACTGATCTGTCTAGTCGAGATTCGATTAGTTAGAGGCCGGAATATTGCTGACGGAGACGTGAAGCAAGATCGTTCAATCAGACGTTCAAACTCACTTTACATGATTCTTCTTACAGCTAATTTAATGATCGCCTCATCAAACTAGATGAACGTATATGCTTGAAGCTAAGATCGATCTGAAAGTCGACACTCCTCGGTGGTGAACCACGAACACGTCAAACTGACAAGTCACAAACATCAACTATGTTTGATGTCAAAAGACCAATGTTTCGCCCGTTAGTTTTAATCAAAATTGAGCAAATTGCCGTAGATAACATCCCATGTCAGAGGTCCAGAACCCCTCATTATTGTGATCAAAGAATGTTATTCACAGCAATGTGAACATTAAAAACAGCCTTGTTTACCTAAACCAGCATAAATCTCCAAATCGATATAAAAAGTCCGTTTTCGCGCAAAGAAATGATGGTAATTGTTCGTAATAGGGAGCTCTGTGAGTATTATATATGAGATGGCATATGTGCAACTTGTTCCACGGAAACGTCTCCGTGATTCTTTCCAAATGGTTAGGTAATTGGGGTTTTATGCATTTTATGCCTGTCTTTTATATGTAATTTTGAACCCGATTCAGTGCCACAGTAGCGCTGATATATTCTCAATGGATTTCAACTGACTGTTAAAGGCGGAGACATCCTTGTTGTTTAAATCCTTGCTACGGATATTCCAGCCACATGACGGTTTTGTATATAATCGAGTCTGAACCAAAGAATCCGGTGACGGACACGTTATGCATCAATTTATGCACTTTGGATACGATGACATGCATCAACCAGTCCGTTAGTCTGACTACCTGATGCTGTTAGTCGCCTCTTGCAGTAGGCATAGTTCAGTCGCTGAAAACTAATTCTCAACTGCATCTTTACTGGGTTCGGAAGCAGAAGCCTACCAGTGTTCATCGATTATAGCGTATTTTTTGCATTTGGACGTATTTTTCTTTTCTGTAAAATGTGCCAACAGTAACTCCGATAGATGGATACTAGGTGTACACGAAGGTCATCCCTCATCCGTGAATACATCGTCAATACTACATGGTCTACACTACCTCCCTCAGCACTCGTGAATGCATAGTCAATACTTGACGGGTTGGTCTACACTACCTTCCCCCATCACTTGTGAATACATCGTCAATCCCTGACGGGTTGGTCTACACTACCTTCCCCATCACTTGTGAATACATCGTCAATACTTGACGGGTTGGTCTACTACCTTCCCCATCACTTGTGAATACATCGTCAATACCTGACGGGTTGGTTTACACTACCTTCCCCATAACTTGCGAATACATAGTCAATGCATGACGGGTTGGTCTACACTACCTTCCCCCATCACTCAGGAATACATCGTTAATCCCTGACGGGTTGGTCTACACTACCTTTCCCCATCACTTGTGAATACATCGTCAATTCCTGACGGGTTGGTCTACACTACCTTCCCCCATCACTTGTGAATGCATAGTCAATACTTGACGGGTTGGTCTACACTACCTTCCCCCATCACTCAGGAATACATCGTCAATCCCTGACGGGTTGGTCTACACTACCTTCCCCCATCACTTGTGAATACATAGTCAATACTTGACGGGTTGGTCTACACTACCTTCCCCATCACTTGTGAATACATCGTCAATACCTGACGGGTTGGTTTACACTACCTTCCCCATAACTTGTGAATACATCGTCAATGCATGACGGGTTGGTCTACACTACCTTCCCCATCACTCAGGAATACATCGTTAATCCCTGACGGGTTGGTCTACACTACCTTTCCCCATCACTGGCGAATACGTGGAAATCAATTCCTGAGCGGGTTGGTCTACCTTCCCCATCGCGGTGAATGCATTGTCAATGCTTGACGGGTTGGTCTACACTACCTTACCCCATCACTTGTGAATACATCGTCAATACCTGACGGGTTGGTTTACACTACCTTCCCCATAACTTGTGAATGCATCGTCAATGCACATGACGGGTTGGTCTACACTACCTTCCCCATCACTCAGGAATACATCGTTAATCCCTGACGGGTTGGTCTACACTACCTTTCCCCATCACTTGTAGATACATCGTCAATTCCTGACGGGTTGGTCTACACTACCTTCCCCATCACTTGTGAATGCATTGTCAATACTTGACTGGGTTGGTCTACACTACCTTCCCCATCACTCAAGGGAATACATCGTCAGTCCCTGACGGGTTGGTCTACACTACCTTCCCCATCACTTGTGAATACATAGTCAACACTTGACGGGTTGGTCTACACTACCTTCCCCATCACTTGTGAATACATCGTCAATACCTGACGGGTTGGTTTACACTACCTTCCCCATAACTTGCGAATACATCGTCAATGCGCTGACGGGTTGGTCTACACTACCTTCCCCATCGCTCAGGAATACATCGTTAATCCCTGACGGGTTGGTCTACACTACCTTTCCCCATCGCTTGTGAATACATCGTCAATGCACCGACGGGTTGGTCTACACTACCTTCCCCATCACTTGTAGATACATCGTCAATACCCTGACGGGTTGGTTTACTACCTTCCCCGCCAACTTGCGAATACATCGTCAATACCTGACGGGTTGGTCTACCACTACCTTCCCCATCGCGTGAATACGTCGTCAATGCTTGGCGGGTTTTGTCACCTACCCTACCTTCCCCATCACTCGAAAATACATCGCCAATGCTTGACGGGATGTTGTACTCCATATTTCCCTATCACTCGTGAATACATCGCCAATACTTGACAAGTTGGTGTAGATTAAATTCCTTTATCTCTCGAGATACATCGTCAATATTTGTGTTGGTGTACACTACCTTCCTCCGTTACTCGTTAATACATCGTTAATTCATCATTCGAGCATTTAATGAAATATTTTATTGTTTTATATCTTTTCCTTCATTATATCTCGCTGTTCACTAAAATGAGAGAACATTGATCAAATAATTTAATAGTGCCCGTCAAGCAGGTTTTCGTCAGATTCATGCCAAAATCAATACCCCAGTCAGGAATGTACTTCGATTCATGTTCAACTCTGAAATTAAACACTCTTCTCGGTTTTATCAGTAGTTTCTAAATAATATCCGAAGGCCTAGGCCAATTGTGTCTCAAACTGGAAACAAACTTAAAGAGTTACACGTTGGCGTCAACCAAGTAATAACACTTAACATTTGGAAATAGTTCGAATAAACTCCGAAAATCCTTTAATAAACGGAAGTGCTCAGTCCAATTTGGCTAAAACGGATGGCAGCCGTGGTCTTTTTAAACTGGATGTAAGTAGGGATGGTTCCATCAAACAGTATGATTGTTACTGATGGGTTTGCAATTTCATGCACAGCCACATCCGATATGCGACATCCTCAATACTCACCGCCTGAGACGTGTTATATGTTACGACCTGCAGGGGTCTATGTTGAACCACGTGATGAGAACAATCACATTGATCAATTACGAGGACGGTGATTTGAGCAAACAGTGTCTTGTCGGCAACCTGAAAAGAAGGGACAATTTTGTAAGGTTCTAGGTCGTGCTCACCTGCAGACAAATGGTCTGTATGGGTTTTATGACGTATGTTAAGTCGCGCGTAGCACATTGTACAGTGTTATTTTTCTATTTCAGTTTAGGTATTTGATGGCAGTTACCATCTTGTGACAGCAGTGAAACAGCATTTAATAAAGAATCAATAAGGGGAGATGTGTATATTTTAAAGATAACTCTACTAATCCGCCCACTCCAATACTTAAAATACCGGGCAAAAGATATACCACATGTTAATGGGGGATAATAATGAAAAGATCAATAAATTCTGATCCGATGGTGATGTATTTGATTCAGGGATCAAAGTTCTATCTTTGATCTAACGTTTTCAGGTTTCGGCGGCGATTCATAATTTTGATAACATTTACAGTTTTCAGTAAAATCCAAGTTTTATGTGTATGCCTTCTTTTGCCCGGTAGTCTGTATCGATAAAGTGTCATTACAGATGCATAAAGACTAATGTTCGACCAGGAAAGTGACATTCTTCATAATAAATGCTTCTTTGAATTACAGAAAGATTTATGTGGCTTCCTAAAGGCCTGGCCAAGCAGTAATCCGTTGCCATTAAACGCTGCTATCTGAAATTAACTATTTATGGGATGTATGTTTTTGGTTAAAATGATTTTTTTAAATGCGAGAATACAAATACCAGATCAGCCGTTCGTTTTCAGAAACTGACTACTCGTGCAAAATTAGCCATGTATGAGACTAAATCCTTCCTTTTGTTGTCCTAAATTGTACGACTACCGTTTGACCCTGGTTTTATTCTTCCAAATATTATATGAACTCTCCACGTCTTTGCAAAAGAGCTCCAAATGCAAAGTGAGGAATCAATGGCGAAATCACTATGCTTGCCTCATCTGGAAGAACATTGGAAACAGTCAATACAAAGAGGTTATCAGAGCAGTTTGTTTTGTGATTGTAAATATCCTCAATTTGCAAGAGTGAGGAATCTAAAGGAAAGGGCAATCCACCATGTTCCTCTTCCGGAAAGAGAGTTGACATAGTCACTACATACAAGGTTATGAGAGCAATTTGTTTGTGATGGTGGTAAAATATCCTCAATTTGCAAGTGAAAGTCTAAAGGCAATCCACTGTATTGCCTCATCCGGAAAGTACGTTGGCCGCAAGTCACTACATACGGAGTTATATGAGAGCAATTTGTTTTGTGATTATAGAAATATCCTCAATTTGCAAAATTGAGAATCTAAAGGCAATCACCGTATTGCCTCATCCGATACGTACGTTGACATAGTCACTTCATACACAGGTTATGAGAGCCATTTGCTTTGTGATTGTAAAATATTCTCCGTTTACCAAGAGTAAGGGAATCTTTAAGGAAACTTAATCATATGTCCCTCATCCGGAAAGAACGTTGACATAGTCACTAC